AGCAAAACACAGTAACAGCACAAGGAAAGATGTTCCAGAATGAGGAAACTGGTATTGTGATCCAAAACTGCAATATCGTCCCAGATCAACAGCTCTCCGTTGATAAGTTAAAGATCCCTTCATTCTTGGGCCGCCCATGGAAAAAATATGCAACGACAATTATCATGGAATCAGCCATTGGTGATTTCATAAGACCTGAAGGGTGGATGCCATGGAGTGGCAACTTTGCACTCGATACTTTGTTCTATGCTGAATATAATAACCGAGGCCCAGGTGCTAATACCGCCCAAAGGGTCAAATGGAAGGGTTTCAAGGTCATCACCAATAGGAATGAGGCTCTTCGCTTCACTGCCGGACCATTCATTCTAGGAAATGAATGGTTGAAAAACACCGGAGCACCTTTCGTCCTTGGATTGAAGTACTAATTCAAGTAGCTATCACGTGACAAAAGGCCATTGACAGGAACAGAATGAGACGTTGGAAATACAATTTCCATTTGCTCATTTAAAGCCAATCTGTATCTTTTTTTGTTGTTTCTTCAATCAATAAAGTGAGACTTTTGTTCCTCGTATTTTTGTTATTGCTAGTTTGTGTTCCTTTTTATATATCTGGTCCAAAGGTTACATTGTTGGGCTGGGGGTGGCAAATGGTTGGGTTGGATTGGGTTGGGTAAGGGTTGAATATCAACCCACTCATATTGATCCACCAACCCACCATGACCCATGATCAATCCTATTTAAAGGGTTATAACCCACCCTGATTCACCTATATTGATTCACTTTACCCATCATATTGACCTTTAACCACCCTCACCCATACTAACCCACATACCCTCATATATAAATACAAAAATGGATAGGGACGATCTGTATACACAAAATAATAAATTTTGAGAAATAATCTCTCTCAAGACTACCACGTGACAAAAACGAGTCAGATCAACTCGTATACCTGAAAAAGCAAAAATTGTATATAAAAGCAGAAAATTGAAGAAAATTTGCAGAAAGTGCAAAAAAATACCAATAAATTGTAGAAAATACAAAAATAGGAAAACTTATGAAAAATACAAAAAATACTAAAAAATTATAGAAAACTCGAAACTTTTGCAGAATAAAATAAAAAATATGCAAAACAATACTAGAAAATTGTAGTAAATGCATGAAAAACACCAAAAAATGCAAAAAATGCAAAAAAAGCACCAAAAAGTTGTAGAAAATGTAGAAAAATACCAAAAAATTTAAAAAATGCAGAAAATAACAGAAAATTTGTAAAAAACGCAAAACTTTTATAAAAGTGCTTTTGCAAAATTACTTTTATGAAAGTACTTCTACAGAAGTACTTCTATAAAAGTGCTTTCATAAAAGTACTTTCAAAAAAGCACTTTTAAAGTACTTTTATAAGTGTTTTTATGCTTTCATAAAAGTGTTTTCATAAAAGTGCTTTCGCATAAAAGTGCTTTTGTGCTTTCATAAAAATACTTTTGTAAAAGTGTTTTTTTGCTTTCATAAAAGTACTTTTGTAAAAGTGCTTGTGTAAAAGTATGTTCGTAAAAGTACTTTTATGCTTTCATAAGTGCTTTCATAAAAGTACTTTTATAAGTTCTTTATGCTTTCATAAAAGCGTTTTCGTAAAAGCACTTTCATAAAGTGCTTTTGTAAAAGTATTTTTATAAAAGTATTTTGTAGTACTTTCGTGTAAAAGTGCTCTCATAAAAGTTCTTTTCATAAATTTACTTTGTAAAATTGCTTTTGTAAAAAGTGTTTTTGTATAAAATTGCATGTGAACACAAAAGGTATTAAAATCGATTTTATTTCACTTTGATTAGCAAAATGAAATTTGGCATAATGGTTTGAAGTGTATTGAAATGTTTGTACGTTAGGAGGTTTGGGTTCAAATCACTTCAGCTTCCATTTTTTGAGATTTGGCGAGTATTGACTTTAACCCAACCCATCTTGACCTACGCGACCCAACCCATCCTGAACCTAATGGGTACCCTCGACCCAACCCACCCTAACTCTTTTCCATTGACCCTAATGGGATGCTTGGCCCATATTGACCCATTAATAGATTGGGTGTGTATAGGTGGGTTGAGTGGGTCAAATGGGTTGGGGTCAAGATTGCCAGCCCTAACTTGGGCATTCATTTAGTGAGTAAGACTCATCACGAGAGATCTAAATCACTCCATTTTTCATAAACCTAGAATATCCCAATAGAGGTTGGAATTTGGCTTTTAACTTTATGGCTGCTGGTATGTGGATAATTAATAGTGAAGTCTCAACTAATAGTATGAGACTCCGAGTTGCTATGTGGATGTGCATCTTATGTGCACTGATTTTTATCCTACTGAGTTTTATTCATCATATGATTTATTAAACACTATTGACGAATAGAATCTCTAAGATGCAATGAATTTTTACCCTTGGACATGCGGGATCCTTAGGGTTGTAATATCAGGATCAGTCACTTTCATATATTATATATGAGTGTCATCACTATTGGATTGTGATGACATACCTTGTTTGATGGGAGGCTGAAAGTGAGAATGCAGTTTTGAGGATTGCTAAGGGAGTTATTTCCTTAGGACACTAGTTAGGAGCAATGTTTTAAATTTCGACATGATACAACTGATACGGAGCGTGTGGTATCATATATTTTAATACCTGATACAAGATAGGGTGGAAAAACAATGGTATCTTATTTTCCACCTTATTGGACCAGTATTAAACCATATTGGGCCGTATCAAGAGTGTTTTGGGGTGTATCAGGAAATGGACAAAAATACACAATTTGTTTGTGTTATTGGGCCGTATCAAGACATATCCGTAGTATATCAATAAATACACTACAAAAAAGAAATGGACAAAAATGAAAAAGAAAATAAAAGGGGAAAGAAAGCCTTCTTTCACCCCCAAATGACTTTAAAACTCCAAACCTCATTCCTAA